CGTCATCGGCGCCCGTAACGCCTGCCCGCCCCGTGCGGACTGCACGATTGTCAACTGTGCAGGCGACACATGGGGGCATTTGGGCCTTTTTTTTAAAGCATATATAAAGGGGGCAGATGTATAGAAAACTCAGCCAGCCTTCCCTGTGCGTGCTGTCATCAAACCGCACCAAGTGAGCAACCTTGAGGGGGACCTCAAGGGCCTGCCTTGACATCTCTAAGTAGTGTCTAAAGTATCCATACGAGTTAGGGAACTCTATGGACGATGCCACAACTTAAGGCTAGTGTTGAGCGCATAACAACTCAGGTGAGACTATGGGCGCCGCACAGGCTATATGTGTGTCGCTGATACCTTGGAGGAGTTGACCCGTGGCCGATTGCATGAGAGGTTAAGGGGAAAGAATAAACTTATATGTGGTCGCATTATCGCCATGGTTTAAATATACTCTAATCAAAGAGGGATTGACTTGTCATTTGTGATGAAAACTGCAATTAAAAAGGCACTGAACAATCTCCCCTTATGCTCTTTCTCAAATTGAAACTATAACAATATACTTACAGAAGACTAAACACACATCTTTTGTTGGAAAAATATTGGATGATTATGGATAATAAAAGGTTTAACTTTGAGACGTGTCAAGGACACTGTCCTTAAGAATATTTCGCCTACACCGTGATAAATAAAATTAGGCGTATCCCCAGAATTCAACAAGCTCTTCTAGCATAAACTAGGAGCAAAAACAACAAGGAATAGTCATAAGAAAACCCAAGAAAAGAGGAAGATAACTTTTTTTTTTCTTTTTTTGTTCACACTCAAAATGGACAAAAGGAATTAGATATATGTAGTTCAAAAAATAGACATCAGATTGTTACCATATTAAAGGCCAAAAATGTTAGAAAATTAAAGGCCATTTAAGGCTTTGAAAGAAAACATTAGCCATTAAGGCTATTCAAGAATAGTGTATCAAATTTCAGTTACAAAATTATTATTATATTTGAAAATACATTCAAATTATATTCAATTTATTAGAATAATAAATATCCTCCATTAACATAATATTAAAACAATGAATCTAATGATCAATTTGAATATTTCTTTTTGAGTTATTATAATTATTTTTCTAACATCTTTCTCCTTCCCTATCTACCTAAGCATTGATGAGAGTTATTTGTGCTGATATTGATGGCAGTTGTTTGGCCTGAACACCATCGTAAAAAGTTAAACACAAAACTTCCACATAAAGTTCAATCAAGTATTTATTAGTACACAGTACAAACAGGGAAAAGAAATAGTAATTAATAGCAGAAAGTAGTGATCACTTCCTAGTAGGAACAAGGAGCAGAGGCTTTTCTCTTTGCAATGGCACAGCATACTTTTCATTCATATCAAGCAACAAGGGATCACCATCATTTGGAAGAGACCATTCAAAGTGATAAACCAAAGAAGCCAAAATCAAATGCACTTGTTTTGTAGCAAAAGGCAAGCCAGGACACATTCTTCTACCAGCACCAAATGGCAAGAATTCAAAGTCTTGCCCTTTAAAATCAAGATTTGAGTTTAAAAACCTCTCTGGCTTGAATGAGAATGGATCCTCCCAATGTTTTGGGTCATGTCCAATTGCCCAAAGATTCACAAAAACTAAAGAATTTTTGGGAATTGTGTAGTTCATAACTTGGCATGTTTCACTTGCATAGTGAGGTAGAAATGCTATAGGTGGATGCAGCCTTAAGACTTCTTTAATGCAAGCATTTAGATAAGGAAGTTGAAAGATTGTTGATTCTTTAATGGGGTTTGAGTTTATCTCATTTTGAAGCTCAGAATAGAGTTTTTTCATCACTTCTTTGTTCCTCAGTAGCTCAGCCATTGCCCACTCAATTGTTGATGTCAAAGTTCCTGTCCCTGCTGGAAATATTTCCTATAAAACATATACTAGTAAACTATGTCAAACAAGTAGCTGAATTTTTAGAATTAATATTAAGAACAGTGGCTAAGTTTGATCAATACAACAACTGAATAGAACAAACGCTAAGTTTGTTTTTCATCAATTTGCAGTTCCAGTAATATACATAATGAGTTGAAGCAGCAGTATAAATGTTATACCATTAGGTTAAGTTAAACGACAATAATACGTAGCTTTTCACGATAAACATGATATGACAACCTAAAAATAGATTAAAAGGATATTTACATACCAGGAGCATGTAATTGATCTGATCATCAGAAAATCCATTAGAAAGCATAAGATCCAAGAAGTCCTCTTGTTTCTTGACATCAAATCCACTTAAACTCTCTTCTTCTCTTCTCTCTTTGACTATACCTTCCCAAACCTTAAACAAATTATCAAGACACTTCTTTGCTTTTTTCTTTTGACCTAGAATATCAACCCCATTAAAACTTGGAAAAAAATCAGCTAAAATTGGAGTTGTACTATACTCCATAAACCTCCAAATATTCTCTTTCATTTGACAACCAACTCTCTCATCCTCCAACTTAATCATATCCTTTGAAAAACAACTATTTCCCAATATATTAAAAACAACACTAAACACAACATCTCCAATTTTCACAACTTTACCTTGTTTAAATACCAAGAAATCAACCATATCAAGAACCCCTTTTTCCCTTTTGTCAGCAAATAATTCCATAGATTTATTAGAAAAAAGTTCAGTCCTCCACAAAACTCTAATTGATTTCCAATGACTGTTACACTCAGTAGACCAAAGGAGTGAATATTTTTTAAGATCAGATTCTTTAATTGGTGTAGCTTTTGGTGCATAACGAGCTGAGAGTTGTTTATCATGAGTTTTAAGAATTTCAACTGCTGATTGTGGTGAAGATCCTATGATTACAATTTGGTTTCCTAATTTTAAAGAAATTAAAGGGCCAAGTTTTTGGGATATTTTTGTGACTATGATATGGGGATTTTTGCCTATGAAATTTGGCATGTTTCCTATTAATGGCCATTGGAATGGTGCTGGTGGTAGATTTTGGATTTTAAAGAATGTAGAGTTGATTTGATTGAGTATTAGATAGATTAAAGGTGGGATGAGAAATATGAGCAAAGAGGATAGATTGAAAGATGAGAAGTCCATGGTTTTTTCTTCAGATGAAAAGTTTGTGACATATTTTTTGAGGAAAGCAGTTCATACATAGGAGTTATCTCGTGTCCATGCCAGGTTTTAATATTTCAATGACACGTGGTTCCTCCGCAAAGCAACAACAACAACATACCAATATAGTACTCAGTATTCACAGTATAAAAGCTAAAAAGCAGAAACGGATCCAAGCTTTTAAGATTATAGGTACACCATGATACTTGTCATAATATCAATTGATGTATATATTTTTAGTATTTTATGATATATTAATAATTTTGCATATTATTTAACGAGATGAACTATAATCTTTGCGAATACAGATCTGTGTTTGTCATTAATATAAGACAAATCTCAATGAAAGTAATAAGTAATTTAATCTCTGACTCTTTAAGTTGTTGTTTACCTGAAAACTTGGAGAAGGAGAAAAAAAAAAGAAAAGAATGATAAGAAGGAAAAAAAAATAGAACTAAAACAAACAATAGAATTACGAAGTACAAACTAAATACATAGTATTATATTGATATGTGTCCATTGGGTATCGACAGAGGCACCAAATGCCAAAATTTGAGCATAGCTGCCAGGCCATCTACTCTATAAGGCTATATCATTGAAAATTTGCACATAAAATTTTCTTTTACTTGGCATGAGGATGGGTGCATGTGCCCAACATTTTCTAATGTAGTTACACCCTGTTAAAAAGGATAATATACATACGCAAATTTTATATTTATCTTGTGAAGGTAGAAAAGATATTTTCGATAAAAAAATAAGTCAAAACAAATTTAAAAATAATAAACAACAATAAAGAAGCCACATTAAAAATAAGGAATTTTTACCTCATATAGCAAAGGATAATACCTTATTTATTTTAAATAAATACCATTTAAAAAATTATATTCTATAGATACCTTTTAAGGTTTATAGCAAAATATTTAATTTTGGTTACCTCCTAGCCCTAAGCCACTAAATACGCTAATCAGTTACACTATTTTCTTTCTCTCTCTACTTTGATACATCCTATTCTCTTCCCCATCCCATTAAAATTCCTACAGTACGTTTTCACTTCCGGATCCATAATCAAACCCTCCGACCCTAAAAATCAACCCTACAAGGATCGATTTTGATAAAAAAATCCCCTATAACCACAATTACAAGGATTCGTTGCAATTACAATTGCAGAAGATCTTCCTTGCTTGCCTTCAAGAACTTCGAACCATTAAACATTATCAAGGACTGTGAACTTCTCTTTGATAGCATCCTTAAGAGAGAGCCAGATTCTTCATCCTTACGTTGCAATTACAATTACAGAACATTATCATGCTGTATTTTCATGTATTTCATTGTATTCATTGTCTTTTTTTCGTTGTAATTCAATGTATCTCGTTGTATTCCATGTATTTCATTGTATTCACTGTCTTTTTTTCTCATTGTATTTCAATGTATCCCGCTGTATTATATGTATTTCATTGTATTCACTGTCTCGCTATATGCCATGAATGTATTCATATTTTTTTAATTAATATAATTTATGTATTTAGATGTATTATATAATTTCTCTGAAGATTGCTATGTTTTTGGGGTATTTTTCGGTTGAGAATCTTTTTTATAACTGACAATACAAAATTTGTGTGTTATAATTGAGTTTGTTGAGTTATATTAGGAGTCTATTATGTTAATTGATTCACTTTCCGTTTTAAAAACAGTGTAATCCCCTATTTCACGCCGTGAATACAGTCGAATACAATAATCTGTCCAGCTGTAATCCCATGTTTCACTCCATGAATACAGTCGAATACACTCGAATACAACAACTAATTAGCTAGACTTCCCTGATTCACGCCTATTTTTGCTACTGTATTCATGAATACAATAGCTTAAATACATCAAATACAACTTATAACCACAGAAAAGGTATCTATAATCCGTAATATAGCAAATGGTATCTATTAGATAGCTAATTACTACTAAAAGATAATGTTTTATGAAAATTTCTCTAAAAATAATAAAGACTAAAACAATAACAACATCAAAATAACAATACAATAAAAAAACGGATACAAGGAAACAGAAATAATAACAGAGATCTACAGCTAAGATAATACGAGAATAATAAAAATAATAATATTGACATGAAAAATGCGAAACAAACAAATAAACAACTATACCATATAAATTAGGGATAGGAGAATAATAATAAGAATAAAATAATTGTAGAAAAAGGATTCATTTTGTTTAATTGTGAAGCGTAAAAAATATTAATCTAAGCCGCATTAATTCATCTTCTTTTATATCTTTCACACCTTTTCTTTCATGAACTCAACCAAATAAAAAGGATCAATTGATTTTTTTGGCTCTTAACGAACTTATTTTTCGTTTTATGATCTTATCTTTTCTTTTATACATAAGAAATTTATTTATATATATAATTTATAAGAGACATAAAAAATTTGAAAAATTTATTTATTTTAATTTTAAAATTATAAAAGAGCATGATGTATAAATACCACAATAAAAAGTGCTCCTAACCAATTGTAGCAAATTTGGCACCTTAATATTATATGTTTCAGTTACACATGTAAGTTGGCTGCTACTTTGAAAAATTATGTATTCACCACTTGTAAAGCTTGAAGTACTAAACTATACACGTGGCAGCCTTATCAGTTATCCATTTGGTTGTGAGAATCTCCTTCTCCTTGCCCGTAGTGGTTACTAGTCACTACAGTGAGGGGCCACGTGCTGCTAAGAGCGGAGATGGAGTTAGTAATTTTAGAACATGAGTACATATTTAAAAAAGAAAAGACAGTATTAAGTAGAAATTGAATCCTAATTCTTTAGGTAAATAATATAGCATTCAATCAATCACATTTTTTTTTTTAAATTTTTTGGCGACAAATTATAAATTTACGTGCACCATGATTTAAATTTAGAGAGATTTTGTAACAACGCGGTCGGTCGTTTCGAGAGTTGTAGAACCGTTCACCCATTTTCTACTTCTTTTGTATTCTACAACTGTGTTATGACTTACCGGGTTAGTTGGTTCGGGTCCGGAGAGGTTTTGGAGTGAATTGAGACACTTAGTCTCTTAGTTGAAAGATTAAGATGGATAAGTTGACCGGATGTTGACTTATGTGTAAACGACCTCGGATTTGAATTTTGATGGTCCCGTTAGCTCCATTAGGTGATTTTGGACTTAGGAGCGCGTTCGGAATGTGCTTTGAGATCCGTAGTAGAATTAGGCTTGAATTGGCGAAAGTTGAAATTTTGATATGGGTCGGATTGGATTTCTATAAAGTGGAGTAGGTTCGTGGTGTCATTTCTGACTTGTGTGCAAAATTTAAAGTCAATCGGACCTGATTTGATAGGTGTCACGACCCGAATTTTTTCCACCCTCGGGAGTGGTGATGACGCCTACTAGTGAAAGCTAGGCAAGCCAACCATTTGTATTATTTACCTTTTTCCCATTTTAATCCTTTAACAATTAAGAACCAACATCATATAAACAGCGGAATTTAATAAGCGGAAGACTGAAATATAATATTTTAATAATGATATCAATACCAATCCATAAGATAAACTACCCAGAACTAGTGTCACAATTTCACGGACTGTCTAGGAATACTACAAATAAGGGTCCGAAAAATAAATACAATGCTGTCTCTGAAATACATAAAAGAAACAGAGTGGAAGGATAGAAGGAGACGCCAAGGCCTGCGGACGCCTGCAAGATTACCTCGGGTCTCCAAATGGACTGAAGGCAGCAACCCCAAGCTAATATCCGTATGCTCCAGTACCGGGATCTGCACAAAAGAGTGCAGAGTGTAGTATCAGCACAACCGACCCCATGTGTTGGTAAGTGCCTAGCTTAACCTCAGTGAAGTAGTGACGATGCTAGGATCAGACTACCAAATAAACATGTGCAGTTAAATCATGTACAGCGGAAAAATAAAGGCAAAACTTTACAATTAAAGATAGGAAGGGGAAACATGCTGCGGGGAAATATCAAGTAACAACGAAAATCCAATAGATAAATGTAAAGAACACTATAACTAAATTATCAATAAGAATTAGGAAATCAAAGACAAGTGCACGACATCACCCTTCATGCTTTACACTCTCTCACAAATATCATGCACGACATCACCTTTTGTGCTTTACACTCTCTCACAAATATCATGCACGGCATCACCCTTCGTGCTTTACACTCTTCCTCACCCAAGCAACAATCACAAAGCAATTTAGGTAAGGGAATCAATAACATCACAATAAAATTAAGTAGCCACAGAAAACCAATAAATAAACGTAAAGAGCATCTATCTACTGCACGTACTTATGCATATATAATTATGTTTATAATATATGTACATATAGATATTTTATCCACATAGTGAATAATTCCGGAATTAAATCAAAAGGCCCTTTTAACTCAGTGGTAGAGTAACGCCATGGTAAGGCGTAAGTCATCGGTTCAAATCCGATAAGGGGCTTTGTAAAAGTCCAATCTAACTCAAGAAATTACCGGGGACCGCAAAGCCAGGTTCAGAGACCTGCAACTTCTCTGAACCCGCAATAATTATTTTTTCTAAGTCTAAATCCAATTCGTGGCCTATCCAAAACTCACTCGAGCCCCTCGGGGCTCCAAACCAAGCGTGCACGCAAGTCCAAAAACATCATACGGACTTGCTCGTGCGATCAAATCATCAAAATAACATTGACCACTATGAATTAAGCCTCAAATTCATGAAGTCGCTTAAGAACATCAAAATTACCAATTTTTCTCAAATAAGGTCCGATATATATTAAACGGACTCCGATTCTTATCAAACTTCACCGATTCAACTAAATCATTATTTCAAACTTGTACCGGGCTCCGGAACCAAAATACGGGTCCGATACCATCAATTTCACCATCTTTTATTTCCCAAAAACTCTTATATTTTCCAGAAAATAATTTTCTTCAAAAATTGATTTCTCGGACTTGGAGCCTCGGAATTCAATTCCGGGCATACGCCCATGTCCCATGTTTTCCTACGGACTCTCCGGAACCGTCAAATAAC